TGATAGGATCCCGTCTATAATAATAATTATGTTAATGCATCACTACAGTATCTAATACAACACTAACGTGTATGAATTCCAGATTCTAAATATTCTTTTAGCTAAAGCGATGAAAGATACAAGTTTAGACAATATCGTGAAGTTTAAATGTATGATTTCACATTTTTACGGCGGTTAATGCATAGTTCAGTAGTTGTAATATTTTGCGAACGTAAGCCGTCATAATTATCATACTTCGTAATATTAGACATCACATCCGTTCCTGGGAGGGTTACTTTATTATTATGCGATAACGGTTACCATTATACGTAACGCAGGATCTACGGATAGAAATTCTTTGAACTGTTCGTAGGGATAATATTGACAGTAAAATTCACGTGATAATTCTAAAGGTCAATAACCCTAATTGTCTCTAAGAACTGCCTATAGTGAGGGGAAATGGGGGAAGGCAGAAGGGGGTAATGCAAATCACCGAATTAAATTGGCCTGGACTAACTTATTTTTACGCTTTAGAGTAATTAATTTTTTATTTTACGTTCCGGACTTACATCGGTTCACGATTCCTAGTGATAAACAGCAGAGACAGTGCCCGATCCAGAGTGAATCCCTCTCTCCTGTGATCAATCACAATTTAAATTATTTATATTGTATTCAATTGTGATGGATATAATCCCTCACCAATTTAATACGTATATATTTAACATTGACGGTCTCTGCTGTTGTGATAAACACAAATTTAATTGACTGTTTATCATTAGTATTTTTGGGTAAATATGCATTCGTGGCCAAAGATTCTTTTGGGTTTTATTTTTAACCACCTTAAATTTCATGTGAAGAACCTTCAAATGCTAGAGGATCTGAAAATGATGCCTAGAAATTAAACTGACAACTTCTTTATTGTTAAATAAGCCTAGAAAGCAAATTTTGCCTAAATTTTACTTATAAAATTTGGATGCTTGATCTAGTATTGAAAATTTTACATGTGACATCTAGACCGACTGCTATGGTACAAAAAACATGTACTGTTGCATAAATGTATTACACATGTTTTACTACGTACGTACGTATATACATTATTATTGCTCGGTCAGATGACTTTATTTAAAACACAATGCATAACTTTATTTAACAAAGCTGAAAAACATATGGGATAAGGGCTCGCTACCCTCGGCAGCTCTAATATACATTATCAATACTCCAAATATGGAGTAAACAATTTATCAAATGACACAAAATTGTAACAATACTGCTCCGCATGTTCACCAGTAAAGGGATTACCCACACAATTTATGGACCAAAATGCCTTTCATGTAGAGAGAAAATATAATCATTCTTATAGCCGTAAAGAGAATCGGTAAACATGATCATGTCACTACAAGTGAGGGCATTGTTCTTATTATGGTCCTTGCACTGCCACTTGCAGCTGTGGAACCAAATACAAAAAGGTCCTTGCACTGCCACTTGCAGCCGCGGAGCCAAATACAAAATAGGTCCTTGCTAGTGATGGGCAAATCGACGATTTTTTGAATTTACTGCGCAGCCTGCACAGCCCAGGAGTCTAGGGTTCATGATTATATATCTACTTCGTATGGATAAGGTTAGGCTCCCATTATTTTTTATTAGTGCTTCAAAGTCAGTTTAAACATCAGTTTTTGAGTTTTGCGTTTTTTTCACTTGTAGCTTCAAAACTGCTACCACCTGATAAATTTCGATAAAAATGTTTTATCCGAATTCTGCTAGTGAAGTTTTCTCGACAACCACCTAATAAATTTCAATGAAATTTTTCATTGAAGTTGAGCTTCGTTCAAATTTTAAAAAATAGTCAGAATTTATGAAGAATCTCTTCACGTGACTCTGAAGAGTAAATAATTCTGGTCAAATTTGCAGATCATTTGG